GGTTGACATTTTTTGGACAGTTCATTCGTGAAGTAGGAACTAGCTATTACTGTATAATTTCGTGTATATACCATAACTTTCTAAGCTAGCTATTACTGTATAATTTCGTGTATATACCATAACTTTCTAAGCTAGCTATTGCCAAGTGCCTTCATATTTCGATAGCAAGAAAGAAAAAGGTCATGAATGGCTCTTTAGAGGGGCCTAGTGGTCTTAATATTCTGCACAACTAGAAACATTAGTAATAGGTTAGAGAGGAATGGATTAAACTACATTATTAAGAACATATACGATTATCAAATGCACAATTATTGTGGACTGGTGCTTCACAACATTTGATTTAATAATGTTTATTTTCCTTCTGTGAAATTTTGCTTGAACTAAAAAGTTAAACATAAGAACATTTTATTGAGTTTTCATCGATATTATATTACGAACATACTTCAGTTTACATAAAAACACCTGAATTTGATACTCAATATTTTACCTACTTACTAAATAGAATTTTAGGGATTCTGTGACCTCAGTTAGCAGCTGCTGTAGACGGTCTTCTAATTCATCTCTAGCAAGGCAGCTGTAAGCGTTTGTAATGGATCCTGTTTCAAGTTCACTCTTGTCCAGTTGTTGTAGTTGCTGAACCTCAGTTTCGGCTGGTTTTGGAACACTTTCGATACATACCACAGTCTCAGCGTCTTTAGTGTTGACATACGTTTGACAACCTATTTCACGTTTAGTTGGACTAGAAGGTCCTGGAGTGAATTCCTCGCTAGACAGTTCTTCACTGCTCTCTTCCCGAAATGCCTCCATGCGAACAAGTCTTGTACGTCGAGCAGCATGTCCGAGGACTGTTTCAGCCCTAAGAAGTTCTGGTGAGAGTGGAACGTATTTCATCAGTCCTTTTGCTTTCTTAGATTGAGGTTTTTGATGATATTCTGATACAACTCTTGGTTTATTAGTTGAAAGCTGACCTACTGAAGTAGACTCAAAGAAATTTGACAGTGTGAAGATGGGTTTTTGGCTCTCTTGGTTTACACAGCTAAGCGGTTTTTTGGATTCTTCCACTCCATTTGGATTCCACGGAGGGTCTGGAGTAGCAATTTTCGGCCGAAATGTTGACTGTGGAAAAGAACGAGAAAATGTTTGGAAAATATTACCATTTCCTTCTTGGGAGTGCTCGGTCGACCGTGACCAAACTTTTTCTGTCACTTTCAAGGTATCTAAGATAGGGACTTCACCTAACTCTACTTTAGTAGCTGTCTGATAGCTAGATACATTTGTTTCAGGAGTGGAGGTGGTAACAACTCCATAATTAGAATATCCTGCTGCACGGTCTAACCGATCACCTACAATGTCTATGTTTCCTAGGCACAAAGGCTCCCCAGATCTCACGGGGAAGGCTATTTTACGAGAAGTACCAACAACATCTGGAAGTATGTTGTTGAATTCATTATAAGTTTGCGTCCCCACTAGTTCACTGGGTTCACTAAGCCTTGCTGGTAATATATTATATCCGGAATTAACGTCACTTTGTACCATAAAATTCACAGTTTCTACAGGTTGGACTGGAGATTCCGTATGTTGGTTAGACATCTTCAATGATACAGTTGTATCCTGAGGTAAAAGCACTTCCTTAGCTGGTTTCTGTAGCATTATCTTCCATTTTGGAGAGATGGTAGATGAAGAAAAAGCACTTTTAGTACACTCAGTTTTTCCATAAATTTGATCGTCAGTTCTGTAATCTTTTCTATCAAATTCTGTGTTAAACAAACTTTGGCATGGGTAGGAACTGTCATGTTGTTTCAATGAATCTACAGTAGAATGAACTTCTGCTTTTGTTGCATTTTTAGCAGTTTTTAATGGTTTATTTAATAATGATGCATCTTCTTGTTTTTTACTAATGTCAGTACTTTGACTAGGAATACTGAAACTTATCTCATTCCCTATATTCTTTCTCAAGTTTATGGAATCCTTTGCTGTATTTGCAAAAGATTTTATTTTATTAATGGAGCTGCTTCCCTGTGTGGCTAAATCTTGCATTTTTTCTTTCTCACGCAGTAGCTTCAGACGCTCTAAAAGAGGCAGGCCCTCACCAATCACCTGAGAACTACTATTTTCTTGACTAGTCTGAAAGTTTTGAGGTTGTATTTCGATATTTGTTGCTATGCTACTTTGATCCTGGGTCGCTGATTGGTTGGTGGCCTTTTCTTTTTCTTTTAGCAGCTTAATGCGTTCTAACAATGGAAGATCTTCTCTCAGTGGGCAACAGGGATCTGTAGACAGAGGTTCTGTTTTCACTGAAGAAACTGATACCATTTTTGATGAAACAGGTGTTTTTCCTATCACAGGTTTCTCACTCATAACTCTTTCTTTCTCTTTGAGCAACTTTAACCGTTCCAAAAGAGGAAGTCCTTCCCCTAAAGGCCGATAACTGGTAGCATGAGGAGTGGTTGGTTGAGGGGTTCTCTGGCTAGTATTCACCCCAGATCTTGCAGTTCCCTCACTCATTTGCATCTTCACACAAGATATCCGTCTTGCAAGCCCTGTTTAAATGTTATACAAACACTCTTTGAATATTTAGTGTTTTAATTACAAATAAAAGTATAGAAAACTAAAAATCAACTGAACCTACACCAGTAATTAACACATGGTTCGTTAGTCTGACAATTACATTAAAAATATACAGCGATTAGTTTATTCACTGTCTGAGTTAAGTACCATATGACCTAATTTAATCTTAAATTTAGAGAATTTTGTTAAACAACATATAAATTAAAAGATGTAATCATTATGTGTTCTGGCTAGGTTAAAAATTTCTCCATTATATTAATTTGTTTGTATCAGATATTTCAACAAAGATACTTAATGGTCATCTAATTTTGAACAGATAAACTGGAAGCTAGTCAACATCCACTGCCAACTCTTGGGTTACTCTAGTTGAGTAGTGTGATTTGAATGTTACTTTTCCAATGCACCTGAGGCTCTATAGAGCAGATCGCGATTTTTCGGCAATAAGAAGCAAACAATGGACCCTTGTGTTTACAGTCCGGCATACTAAACATTAGCCGACACCCATTATGTTAATCTGATTGATTAAAATATTTTATTTTGGATTATCTAGTGTTTGTTTGTAGTTAAGCACAAAGTTATGCAATGGGGTATCTGTGCTCTGCCCACCACGAGTATTGAAACCTGGTTTTTAGTGTTTTAAGTATGCAGACATACCGCTATGTCACTAGTGATATGTCAGTACAGATGTTGAAGTTAACATGCATCAACACATTCAAAGTTCCTATTGGTCAGTAAGGATAGTTCATACCTTTTATTCGTTGTCTTCCTGATAAGTCACTGTTCTGATGAAGTCTCCTAGATAAAAAAAATAATTACACGATGAAGTGCAAAAATGTAATTATTTTATATTTTAACAAATTTTTCACACTGAAGAAATCAATCAAATACACCAGACCTCCCTTTTCGATTTACTGTGTATTACCTACCACCTTAGGCCTTACTTTCTCTTCCAGAACAGATACTGAATATTTTATATTACCTATATCATTTCAAATGATAAAGCATATATAAGCACAAAGTATGTAAAATTGATTGTGTTTCTATTGTTACGTCTCCCTTTGTTAATTGATTTTCCGTAACTTCGTTCCGACGAAACTTTAGCGACACAAGTCCTTACTTAATAAAACTGGTTTATTCTTTCTGAATATAACTTTACCGATACACTTATTTTCAACAGTCGCTCTATAACAAACGTTTTAACAACGAACGTTAACTTCAACAATACTTTCTGACTGCAGTTCAATTACTCACTACCTACACACACATTGTCACGTCACGCCGTGACCATCTTATATATACCAGACCACCCCCCAATCTAGTAAATGCTAAAGCACTCCCGAAGGAACGGGATAGTTCTAGAAAGCAGGTGGCGTGACACTAGTCACGTGACCTCGCTGACGCAACACTATCTCCCATGTGTGTAAGATAGGCTTATCTCATTTTATATCCAGGAAGCAGTACTTTCCAGTTCATTGATGTTTGTGACAATTCTGGTGTTTTTATCCTAAACTAAATTTCTTGTTAGTTAGCAAAATCTTTAGCATTTCTTGATTCATCAATTACTTGTAATCAAACATATCAATCAAGAAACACTCCCAAAAGCCATTTTAAAAGCTCGTAAGAATAATCACTGAAATTTGTCACAATTAATGTTACCATCTGTCAATTAAACTCGATAGTTTACCAGAGAATGTGAACAAAATCTTGACCATACAGTTAAGGACTTTTCTATTCTGGGACTTATAAGTGGTCCAACAGATATTTACAAAAGAGAATGACTGGAAAGGAGGTTAATCTACAATCTGGGAACCCTACAACCATCTGGTTTAAATGAACACTTTTCTTCCTTATAGATTCTCATTTTTCCATTTGTTTGTTTAAATTTTAATTGCAATCTGTTGTATCTTTCCACAGTTTGTAATACTTATGTAAAAGATGTAATTTTGCACAAAACTTTCATGCTCAACATTCCAAATACTATTCATGAAAGTTCTTTGAATTCAGTGCTTGTGCCTTTGTTGTAAGCTGTACGATCTGACGAAGAGTGCTAGTTCGAAATGTCATCCTTCTTTAAATAAAAATATAAATAAAACTTGGTGTTTTTTCAAACTATTCTTTAGTTTCAACATCATTTGCCTATGCGGTTTTAACTATATATTCCTTGTTATGGTATATAAAACCCGCTAGATGGCGCTATCTGCACGTTCAAGGAAAACCACTGGGAGGACTGCTGTATGTGATTTTAAAGAATACCCAGCTATGTAATTATTAGAAATTAGTTATCATTAGAAATGGCAAATTTCTATATAGGGAATATCGCAGAGCATAGTAAGTTAGAAACGCTGTCATTCGTTAACTGTATCGTATCATTCATCAAAACATCTTCGTTAATCTGAAGATGACCTAAGAAGGTCGAAACGTTATTCTTGTACTTTATTTTAATTAAAGTTTTTAATATCCATACCAGCCAGGTTAACCTGAAGATGATCTAAGAAGGTCGAAACGTTATTTTTGTATTTTATTTTAATTAAAGTTTTTAGTATCCATACCAGCCAGGTTAACCAGAAGATGATCTAAGAAGGTCGAAACGTTGTTCTTGTACTTTATTTTAATTAAAGTTTTTAATATCCATACCAGCCACCTCTGCTATACATTTTTACTTCAAGTGGGTTTATCGTCATCATGAAATCCTGTATTACTTTTTCATCCACATTTAAATTTGTTAAATAACCCATAACGATTTGAACGTTCCAAAGATATTGGAAGACGAAGGTCTATTACCTAAATAGCTTTTGAATTGGACTGTTGTTGACCTCCTGACCAGGACAGGAATGCCTTTGTCCATCCGCACCATATTTAGAGCTTGTTCGCCCTCCACTAGCAAGTGTCGCCATCTCTATCTGACAATCAGTACTTTGACATGTCCCTCTAGGTTATAAAACAAACATTAACAAAATCGTTTATTTTAAAAACAGCAACAAAAACTTTCAGTTGATTTATTAAACACATTTGGATTTTCAAAGTTAAATTACAAAATGTATATGATAAGTATTTACAAAGTAGTAGCAATAATCCATTCCAAGATTCCTGGTTAGCAATTTAACAAAGAAAATTTGTATAATAGTAATAATAAAACGTTTCAAGATTTCTGGTAAGCAAGAGCACAAATTATCATGTGTTCATTTACAGGCTTAGTGCTGTGTCAGTATGTGTTGGTTATAGTTCTAATGCTTAGTTATTGTGAGTTGATTTGTATCTGCTGTTAAGTACAAACCAACAAAATGGACTATCTATGCTAAGCCCATCACTTGTATCGAAACTCAGTGTTTAGTGCTATAAGTCTTCAGTCTTACCTCTGAGCCACTGGGGATCGTGTTGATTTGCAGCTACAAGTAGACAATTATAATTAATGTTAGAATTAGGTTAGTTTAGTATTAGAATATGCTCATCCATAACTCTGATACATTCGTAAGATCATTCCCAGTGTTAACCACCTGGAGCTTAATTGTGCCCATCATTAATGCAGATGGATATCTAGATATGGAATCCACAGACAGCAGAACTTTGATCTACAAGCTGTACCAGATAGTTACAGATATAACACGTAGGTTGACAGATCATGAAGTGGAAAGGACAGCCACTCTTTATTGATTACTAGAGTGTGGACACAAAATGGAAATGTATAGTTACAAGTTGTAAGCAGTGCTGATCAATCCAGATTTGTGAGGCCTCTTGACGTATATTTATACCCTATTGCCATTCTAATTGGCTACTGGTCCGCCTGCTTTGTTAGGACAGAAAGGGCTAGGGACAGGAGTTCTGAACAGCGAGCGTATTGCCTATGATGTACGCATAAAACATCCATTAGTTTCAGGCAGTCTCATACCATGATAGCTTACTGCAATCTCGGGAGATAAGAATATGAAAATACTTCCTTGATAAGCTTTCCAAATTTCATGATATATTCCCCTTTCAATAGACTAAACTTTTAGATCCCGAGAAGCTCTCTCGCTGGCTTTAACATCATACCAGATGCTGACCCATTGGCTGGGATGGCCATTACAGTTTTTTCTATAAGACAGCAACATTTTCTGTAAGCATTCTCAGTGGAAGAAACCATTGCAAGGTACAAAACATCCAGGTATCTCACCTGAAGTTACACCTACATAACATGTACATGAAAGGTAACACAACTCATCATGCTAGAGATTGGAGGCTCCTGCCTGACCTATCTGTTAGCACTCCTATGTATCTTGCAGTAGGTGACTAATGCCAGACACCCTCCTTGTATAGAAACCTATACATGGATGCAAGGTTTTCTGGCAGTACTCGTGCTCTAAAGCATCTCTCCACTACTAATCAAAATTAAACCATCAACTTTTACAAAAGGAACACCCCATAAAAGTAGTGGTGATGGTAAAGCCTGGAAAGCATGCAGTCAAGCCGAGACTTAGTTCACGTAGATATAGCATGGCTCAGCCTGGATAAATGAGGCAAGGATTGTATGGAATAGAGCCTGTGTTTTTACAGATGATCGATTTCCAAAGCACGTGGTACAAAATATCAGGAAGTATGCAGCAAGAAGAATCTCACAAATACTTCATTCTGGTACATCCATAAATTTATGTCTAGTACAGGAATCAAAACAATGACTATTTCAGTGAGTTATAATCATGATGGTATCCAGATGAAGAGCAAGACAGAGCCTTGAGACCATGGTGACATGCAGGATAGGTTCAAGGTACATCAACCCTTATCAGAGATAGAACTACGTGCAGATATGGAAGCCATCTTTAGCTTAGCTGAGATACACAGAGCGATAAATGCATTTAAATAAGAAACTCTATGTCTATATAGTGTAAGAATATCCATCTTTACGAAGATTACAGAAGCCAAGCTGTTGAAGTTAGTGTTCAAGTATCAATGTAGCTGGGCACCAGGTAGCAGACCTGATGAATTTATCAAATCCTTACCCAAGCCCATAAAGGGGACCACTCTTATCATAAAAGCCATCAAATACCCATTCTACAAAACACCATTGGCAAGATTACTCGAAAGGGTGTAGCTAGAAGACTTGCCTATCAAAGTGAATCACTATTACCATCATCATTAGGTGGTTATCACAGAGGCAGAGAAACCTAGATCACTGCTGTTAATATTACAGCTGATACATGGGAAGGCTTTGAATTGATCAGAACACCTTAACAGTAGCTTTCGATCTAGATGATATCTACAATAGCGTAATCTATTCATCCTTCTGACAAAGTTCTCGTAATAGGCGTTAGAGCAACCTCTGAAAAAATAGGTCATAGCTACACTAGTTACCAGAATATGCATCTTGAAGTATTAGCTGGATAACTATCGACATTGGTCTACCTCATTTACCACCACTGCTGTCGCCAGTTTTCTTCACCATCTACACTATTATCCAACCAGATGTCGTATGCTACACTTTGATGATGATATTGTGGTGTACCAGCAAAGGTAAAATTGAAAGTAAGATGCAATAATTCCTTAGCAAAATCAGCAAATGGCGCAATGACACAGGACTGGTCATCAATCCTGCCAAAATCACACCTACGTTTTGTACATTTAGCAATATAAACACTTATGAGGACAAACCATCACCATTCTTGTGGGCACTGATATCCTAGTGAGGAATCATTGACGTACCTTTTTGGTACA